TCTGTTGGTTCTTTGATAGTTCTAATTATATTTCAGGCTAACTTGGTTTTTATTTACCTTTCTCTTGTCTTCCAAAACATTTTTCAAAAGACCCTTCAGTGAGGAGAATTATCATATAATGTTTCATCGCCCTTATTGTTATGAGTCTTTGTTCACCCAGTTATAATCCAGCCTCACAGCTTGTTATATTGTCATAAGCCTACCCTCCCTCCTTGATTACACCAGTGATACTCTACAGTTCATTTACTCTTCTTATGATTTTCCTTGACTGAAGGACATCCCTGGGTTGGGCCCTCCGGTGCATTATAACACTGTGATAGAAAGAGCAGGAGTTCATTTCAGTCTTTGTTTTCTCCATTCACGGTGGGGAATGCTCAGCCCTCCCATCACTGGAAACCTTGGATTCTCTTCCATCACACATGGCTCAGAAAGTGAACCTTGGGGTTTTGATTACGTGTGTGCTTAAAACAAGAATGAAATATAGACTCCACTTCCAACTCTGGGAAAGATTTAATTTAACTTAAGGAAAATGGAAAAACTTTTATAAATGACAAAGGACGTTACCTCAATATCAAATTCGTTTCAAAAGAAATAGGAATCTTACATAAAAAAAAAACATGGGATTAAGAATCAGACATAAAAATACAATGATTTGTTACATAAGTAAATATAGATTTTTATTCTAGGAAAATAAAGGATCTCCTGTAAATAGAGAAATTGAGAATGTTAAGAATTGTTCGTCAAAATGGATCAGGGAGATGTTCACAATGTTTCAATCTCTTTAAGTAGCCCCAGCTCAGGTGGTTATGTTATAGGACAGGGAGAGGGGCAGTCCAAACCCCGCAAACCTGCCTATTCTAAATGGGTTCTGCCATCCGCCGCAACACAAAACATATGAGACTTTAATGGGAAGGAACTTTAATAAAACTAGGAAACAATACAGGTAAGGCAAAGAGTCTAGTTTCTAAATGAAGCACCCAAAGTTACCCGTCCCCTCGTGGGTAAAAGTCCATCCATATGGGAATGGCCCAGAGCAAGGCCCCAAAGCCTGCCACACGTCTAAAGCATCTTCCAGTGGGGACCCACAGAAAAGGGTCAGAAACAACCAGACAAGCCCGGAAGGAAAAGAGCAAAATCAACATCAAGATAAAAGCTGCCATTGTCACCTCCCCACGGGTCTCACCCACATCTGTGTTACCCAGTCCACGACCAAAAGACAAGCACAGTTTCTTCACGTGTCTCTAGGCTCCAGGCGCCTCCTCTAGGTCTCCTGGCTCCAACCTGCTTCCTTCCTCAGTCTCTTCTGCAGCTTCTCCTCTCCCTGCTCAGCTCCACCCTTCCTTGGGTGGGGGCAGGGAACCTGGAACCTCCCCCTTTCCTGGGGACCACCCTGTTACATTTAGAGATTCTTCGCAGGTGAGCACAAGATCTGCCCTCCCCGTGCCCTTCTAGTCCAGTCCTTTAGCCTGTCTTGGAAAACCATAGCCTCAAGTCCTATTGTTCAGACCTGAGTAACTGCAGATGCTCAATATTTCTGCATGATAGTGTCTTTCATGATTCTTGTTTTATTTTTCCTACCTTTTATAACTCTGAATGCCCTATCTAGATGTAATCAGGCCTTTCTGGCTAATCTCTTAATCATCTCTACTCATCTTGAAAACTGTGACAACATGAGCCCTCAGGTCTTCCCTTCAGGAAACATTTTGCATATTTACAAAGTTCTTCCAACCTCTCCCCATAACCTGTGGCCAGAGGCCACACTCACTGATCATGCAAACCTTAATATTACCCAAACCTCGAGGTGAATATTTATGTTGATCAATCAGCATTGTTTAAGAGTATAATAGTATTCAGTGGTGGTAAGGCTACAGTAAGATTGCCACATTACTTTTAGGAAGATAAACTAGCACCAATTTCCTCCATCTTTCAAATAAGGAAAACAACCAAACATGTATAACAGGAAAGAAAAAAGATTAAATCGTAAGAAACAGAAACCAGTGGTCTAGCCCAGTAGAGCAGGATTTGGTTGGAGTTTGGGAGGACCAAGGTTTCCATTTTTTGTTCATCCATTATTTTTCCCTTCAAGAATGGCTTGTTTTTATAATAAGTGAAGTTTTATTTCCTTCTGAAACAAGAAAACACTTTAACAGTGAGAGTGAGATTTTAATTTTTATTCCTTTTCATCTGAATAAGGAGATCAAACCTTATTTCAACATAGCACTAAGAAGTTTAAGATGAATTGCCACCACGTGATGCTGCTAATTATTTTCACAAGTGCACTGACATCCTCCCTTCACACAACAATGACCCACATGTTGTCAACGTGCCAGTATCTGGCAACTTGATTTTAACAATGAGATTCCAGATTTTGAGCTCATGCTGCAAAAAGGTAAGGTTTCCTTGAGAGAGGGGGAGACCTGCAAAGGGAGAGAGCGTGTTTGGCACGTGAATCATAGGGGTCAGACAGTCTGTGGTAGGCAGGTTCTAAGATGCTTTGAGGTAGCCCCACCTGCTCGTGGAAAGGGCTTCGTGTAGTCCTTTGCCCATGAATGTGGGTTGGATTGACTGACTTGCTTCTAATGAATAGAGTCCAGTGACCGTAGTGAGGTGTCACTTCCAAGATGAGGCTGCAGAACAACTTCCATACTGGGGTTCATTCTCTCTCTCTTGGAGCATTTGCTCGGGGAGAGTCAGAAGGGAATGGAGAAGCACATGTGGCAAGGAAATGACAACTCTGGCCAACAGCTGGCTTGAGCCAGTGGCCTGCCAACAGCTAAGTGTGTGATCTCGGAAGTGAGTCCTCCCCTAGTCAAGCCAAAAGGCCTGCAGACCCCACCAACACCTCAACAACCCGAACTACAGGCCCCTTAGCTACACCTACGTTTCTAACCACAGAAACAGTGAGATAATAAATGTTTACTGTTTTTAGTTACTAAATTGTGGGGTCATTTTTTATGCAATAATAATATAATGAAACAGATTCAATCAATCTGCATAGTTTCTAAGAGCAAAAATGGAAGGGAAAAGTAAATTGCATAACTTACATGTGCTTTAAATTTCCAAACTCTAATGCTTAGGTTGTTTAAATATTTTATAAGTAGTATGTGTTATTTATATTTTTACATAAACAAACCATAACTTGAAGTGTGTGCAGGTTGGCTGTGTCTGAGAAACAGGACTAGAGAAGGGCATGGAAGGGCCTTCAGCTTTATCAATTATGTTTCACTTCAATTCTATTTTTTAAAGCTCCAGAGCACGTGTAAGAAAATTTCAATTCTGCATGGTGTATTTTTGCAACATTTTTTTTCTCAAACCCCTCCCCTCCCCCGTGTTTTAAAAATTGCTCCCCTCCTCTGCACAGAAGTGTAAATGAAGATGCAACTCCAAGCATGTGCAGACCTTGTTCAGACCAGGCAAAACATTGTCTATAAAAGGAGGCTCAGATGTTTTCTGGATGAGTTCTAGGAGACCTAATAAATGTATGTTATTTAAACTGTTGCCAAGCATAGGAAAGGCACAAAGCTTCCAGCCCCACATTTTGCACCTAACATGTTAAACAAACATAGTTTGTTTATTGGCAGATGGCCAGGGAAAAACATTTGCTGGTTCCACAGAGAAGTCCATGGTCAGAACAAGAAGAAGACAGACTAAGAGGTGTCCCAAAGCCACTACCCTTCACCATTGGCTGTGCTCTTGACATTGTGTCTGGAACACCCTTGGCTGATCCAGCCCTCTGTGGGAGGGCTCACCACACATCACCCATCCGCTCTCCCAGCGTGGACAACAGCTTCCTCTAAAATCTAAGCCATCACAATAATGCTACAGGAAGTTATCCTTCCATGTACCCCTGATATACTCGTGGGAGGATTTGGGGGTGTCAGACCTAAATTGTTTCACAGCCTGAGTCCATTGGGGCAGAACTCTGCACCATTACTCCAGGTACACATTGTAAGTCTCCCCCTAAGCTTGCCCCAAAAGAAACCCAATCCAACCACTTAAAAAGTGTTCAGATTCAATAATGACACACCAGAAACACAAATTGCAGTGAGAAGTTCCACTAGAATAATGGTTTTAAAAACCATCTCTTGGGCCTCCCCTGGTGGTGCAGCAGTTGAGCACTGGGTTGCGAGGCTGCCCGCAGCCTCTGCAACGCCAGTTGTGTCCCGGCCACCGGCGAGGGTCCCACAAAAATAAATAAATAAATAAATAAAAATAAAAACCATCCCTTAATATGCCAAAAATTCCTGAAGAGTTTTTCATTTTATTTAAATTAGGTGACTTGATCACTAAAACCAGCTTTAAGTGAATTAGCCCTTTGCTATTCTCCATGGCCAAAACCTCGTGTTTCTTTTCGTCAATGGCTTCCCTGGGCTATTTCTGTCTCAGGCTTACCAAATCTTCCACTGTGGGGAAACTGAGGCACTTATCTCAAAAGAGCTCTTGCGGGTGGAAAGGCTAGAAGCCCAGGAATTGTCTGTCCTTACTTGCTTCCAACTTGGGCATCTGTAATTCTAGACACCATTACCCCTTTCAGCCAAAGCACACGAGGATCCGGAGGCCCCTATCACTGGTTCGCTTGTGACTTGAGGAAATGGCTCCAGGACTGCAGGGAAAGGAATGAAAGCACACCGAGAGCTTTGTTCATCATGCTTAATCAGTCACAATTTTATTAGCAGTGGGCAGCAAAGGAATCTTCTTGAAGACTGGGAAGCATCAAAAGAAAGCAAAACTGGAGAGGAGACTTTGCTGGAGTGAAATGAATTGACAACATCAGGAGGTGCAAGCTATGGCAAGGTCCGTGCTCGCCGCGAGGTCAGCTCTGCTCAGGTGGCCCTCTCTACTCAGTGATCCTGGACAAGCGCCCTTGTCAGCCCCAGAAGTGGACGCAGGCCGGATTCAGAGTCAGGGGAGAAGCAGACAGCACAGTGCTTGGCTGGAAGTGGGCGCCACGGGGCTCTGCGGATGCTGTAGACATGGGCAGTGGTATGAAGGGAGCTCCATCAGTGAGCTGTGGCCTTGCAGACACCGGACTCGTGACCGGGTTGGCAGGGACCTGGCAAGCAGGTGCTGGTTTTGCAGAGACTTGAGGGAGCTGGTTGAAAGCCACTGGAGCCACCACTGGGGGAGTTGCCAAAGCCTGTCACGCAGCAAGCTGGTTGGCAGGGAGGGGATTTGCAGCCACTTTGGTCGCAGGGAGTGGGCCCACCACAAGCTGGCTGACTGGAACACATGGTGCCCCCAGAAGCTGGTTTGCAAGGGTTCTTTGCAGAACATGGTGGCTGGCAGCTCACCACTGGCTGGCAGATGAAGGACATGGAAGGAACTGCCTGGCAGTGAAGCGGCTGGCAAGGGGAGGACACATAGCAAGCAGGAGTGCAAGGACTGAACACACACGTCGACGGCTGGCAGGGAACAGGCATGGAGACAACCGATTGGCAAGGTTTGAAAATGTAGCAGATGGGTTGGTAGTAAGCTGGTTGGCAGGGCTGACCTTCACCACTGATGGGTTGACATGAACCTGCTTGGCAGCAAGTTGGCTGACAGGGGCCTGCCCCAGTGGGTGGGCAAGACGTTTCGGGACAGGGGGTTACCTCACAGCAGGAGGATGGGCAGGACCTCGGGTCGCAGCAGGCTGGTTGGTCATAAGCTACCTGGCCTGACCCAGACATGCAGACAGTGTCCTGGCAGGAGCTTTGTTGGCAGGAGCTGTCTTCACAGCAGCTGGTGGATTCTGAACAGGAGGGTTGGAAGGAGCTGACTGGACAAGAAGGCTGACCAGCCCCGGGTTCGTAGCAACCTTTGCAGGAGCAAATGGGTTGGCAAACAAAACCCACACAAGAAGTTGCTGGAAGGCAGGTAGATTGGCAAGAAGCAGTTTCACAGTCACTGGGGGCACTGCCGGATGACTGACGTTTTTCTTCACATGTAACCAGTTGCCACGTTCTGCTCCGGCAGGAGCTGGGCAAAGGGATGCCTCTGCGGAAGCGACCAGTGTTTGAGTATATGGAGAAGGCGGGCACATCGGGACTGGCGGTGGTGTTTCCAGGACAACAGCTGTCCTCCATGGTGCCGGTGCAGACCTCGCCAGCAAGCTGAAGACCTCTCACATGTGGGGCTTTTATAGTCCCGGCACAAGCTGAGCTGGCCTGACAGGAGCATCATTCCTTGTTATTGTTTCCGTCATTTGCATACAAACATCTGATTAGCAGGCTTCGGAGCCCAGGAGATGTTGTCCCCCACTTTACAAACTTGTCTGTTGAGTTGGGAGTTTTCTTTGCCCGATTTGGATTCCCTGGTGCTCCTGGGATGAGCTGTCACTTTTACAGGTTGTTCTCCAGCCTGCCTGAAGCGGGCCTTTTCTGCACTAACCTCTCATCAGGAGGCTGCAGCCTAGCCAAGCAGCCTGCTCCTCTGCCGGGAATGCAGGTCTGCACCAGCAGGCAATCAGGAAATGACCATGCCCCAGCAGAGGGAGGACAATGTCTGATGGCAAATGGGGCACCCCAAGACAGCACTTCATCATCTCCACCACTTTCTAGAGCTTCCCATTTGCCTTTCCTGAAGCTTCACTTCACTAGACCACCTCTACTAATGACAGTAGCAAGCACTTCCACCGATAGTGCGCTTACTCTCCACCATGTCCTTGCCTGCATTTTTTATTCAATCTTTGCAATGACCTTAGTAGCTAAGATTGCCTTTGGAAACTTTACAATTTCTGAAAGCAATCTTACCTACAGTGAAATAAGCCAGAAAGAAAAAGAAAAATATCGGTTGGTTTCACTTATAGGAGGAATGTAGAGGAACAAAATAAAGGATCGGGGGGAAAAAACTATAATAAAGTAAAAATCAAAATCAACGGGCACCCATAGACCAGAGACAGTCTGTTGAGGAGGAGGAGGGAGAGGGATCAGGACAGGGGTCCGAAGAGCACAAGGGACCATGGTGATGGTGCACAGGTGAATGAATGGGTGGTGGGAATTTCACGGGAAATCATACATTGTACAAAAATGAAGGATGATGTAAAAAATATGTATATATTTTTTAAAAAGTTTGTCTTCACTGTGTTAGATGTAGCAAAACTAACTCAGGAAGCTTAAATTATATTCCCCAAATGATGCAAGTTATAAGGGGTAGAAACAAGGCTCAAACAAACCTTTGGGCTGACCCCAAAGCTCTGATCTTGACCACTATTACATCTCCTAACTCAGGAGGTGGGGTTTCTATGCATGATTGAAGGCTGACACTGTACAGCGGAGCACTGGCTTGTGAGCAGTTCCCCCCGGGCCCTGTGCTGGGGTCATAATTCTAAAAGACACAATCCCAAACATCATAACTCCAAATGTTGAAATCATAAAAGATCAAAATCCCTAAAGTCCAAAAATCACAATCCCAAAAGACCAAGATCGAAAGATATAATTCTGGAACATTCCTTAGATGACATGTATTTACATTTTAAAAGGGGGTGGGGGATTTAAGAAACACATAAAAATACCATGGACCACTTAATAAGCCACCTTGCACAATAAAGTGCATAGTGTGAAAAGAGTTGTCTTTCTCAGATGCAGATGCACATGAAGCAGCAACTCTTCATTTATGGATATCACCTTCTCCTGTGCTTTGCAACACTTGTGGAATCTCCATACTGGTGTCTTTGGTTCAGGCCACTGAGCTTCTCTAATACTTTTTATTCTCTGACTGAGGGTGTTTTTTGAAGGGCAGCGTGGGGCTATGTGTGAAAGGGCAGGAGATACAATGACTGAATGATTCAGCAGGGGAGGTATTGGGTTTTTTGACCTGCATTATCACTTCTCTTTGACTTTCAGAATTGCAACTCTTTGACTTTCATAATTCAGGCTGTGATTTTAGAGCTTTTGATCTTTTGGGATTGTGATTTTAGGATATTAAACATTAAGGATTTTGACCTTTTGAGACTTCAGCATTTGGGATTATAGTGTTCAGGATTGTGTTTTGGGATTATGAATGGTGCCAAGTATATATATTTGTGTATATGTACATTCATACGTGTATGCATGTTAGTGAGTATACAGTGTTTTTGAACTTTAAGTGTGTGTGTTGTCTGTGTGTGTCTGTCTGTCACACAAGCTTGTCACACCAGCTTATTTCTGTCAACTAACATTACATTGGTGGGGGTCCCCCATGTTGTTACACGTGGTCATTTTCCAGTCATGTTCACGACAGCACAATCTTCTACTGTGTAAAAGTTACCATCAGCAGAGAGAAAACTTGCCTCTGCTGATGGTCCCTTGGACCATCATATTCACATGCCCCTTCATATTCTTTGTCTATAAAATAGGGGGAAAGAAACCCTACCTCAAGGAATTGCTACGATTTACCTGAAACACCAAGTCCATGCTTCACACAGGGACTTAAAATCCTAGCCAACTCCTCTCTTGACCTTAAAAGGAGACAAAGATAAATCCCAATGGCCTCATGAGACAGTAGCCCCAACGCTGATAGGCAGGGTAAGTTTCCCTTTGGCTTTCTCCCTCTGCTGTTCTCTAACCCAGTGGCTCTCACACAAAGGCTCTCCCCTCCCTCTAAGGATCTTCACCATTATGTAGAGACATTGCAGGTCATCACACCCAGGAGGTGCCACTAACATCTAGTTGGAAAAGCCCAGGAATGCTGCTTGGCATCCTTTATTGCATGGGACAGTCTCCAGGTCATGATAAAGAGTTATTCTGTCCAAAATATCAACAGTGCCAAAATTGAGAGTGGTTGGGACTCTCTGTGTTTGGTTGGGACAAAATCCCTGTGGTTGGGACAAAGTTGCACCTTGAGGACAAAGGATGGCACTTCATTCTGTGCACTGAGTATAGGGGTGACTACTTTGAAGACAACCTTGTTCTTAGAGATTGTTAATTTGTGTATGGAGCTTATACAAGAAAAGTCTTGTAGGGACTAGGGGAACATAAGCAAAGCTTTTTTTTTTTTTTTTAAGATTTGTCTATTTATGCATACAAGAACTGGGGTACAGGCCAGAGGTATGGGGGGTGAGAAGATTCACCAGAGACAGAGTGGGGAACAGAACAGGCAGACTGACTGAAATACACTGCTGAGGGGAGCAGTGGGTGAGACAGGAGAGGTCTGCTGTGCCATGTGGGTTGTTCCCTGGCAGATTGGGGATCGAACTCATGCTTCAGAGGCTGCAGATTGCTTCATAGTGCTGTGCTTAACCCCTTGCGCCACCAGGGAGACTCATAAGCAAAGCTTTTGCATAAGAAATTCAGGTTACTTCCTTATTATAAGAATGATACCCCACTTGTTTTCATTCTCTATGAACCCCAAAACCAGTGGATTTTTCAACAAGTCTCCTTATATCCAAGACCTTGCTCTTCCATTCGATTTTCCAAACCCAGGCCTGAGGGGCATTCCAAAACCCAGTGATCTTTATGCCCCCTGTCACCCCACATAGGGAGGGCCTCTCCGTGCCTTCCATGTCAGCCCTGCACCAAACTCAAATGCCTCGGTTGAGCATACAAGGCCCCAAAAGAGCAGGTCACTGTCCACTTATCTGACCTCAGAGCTCCTCGAAGCATACCTCTGCCCAAGCGTCACCTAATGAATAGTGTACTCATGAGCCCCATTCATGTGTATACATTTCCTCCACCCGAGAGATCTTCCTTCCTGGTATCCTAGCCAGTTAATTCCTACTTGTGCTGAAAGACTCAGCTTCAGTATTACATCCTCCAAGAATCCTTCTCTGGTTCCTCCCGGCCTTGCTAAGCCCACAAGGCCTGCTCATACCTCTCCCAGAACTTTGCACAATGACATGTAGCAACTGTCTCTCTTCCTGTCTCCTCCCCAGGGAGTGAGCTGCCTGAGTGCAGAGACTGAGACTTTTGTTTTCTCAGGCCTAGAGCCTAATGCAGTCCCTGGCACCTAACTGCTCTCTAGTAATGCCGCTTGGGTGGATGAACAGACGAATGAGTGAGTGAATACGGATGCCCTCAGAGACAAAGCAAGTCAGCCAATGAGAATATGCCATTCACAAGAGAGCACCAGGAACGTGTCGCTTCAACTTAGCCACATTTATTAGATAGTTAAATATCTTCACCTCAAGGAAGAGGTCCCCAAGAAATGTGAGTACACGCAGCAAAGGAGCATATGCTTGAGGACAGAACAAAATATATGCCAGGGAAGACTTGAGATGATGTGGCAATGCGGCATTTCTCAGCTTGCTGGCAGCAGCAGACAGGAACCCAGATGCCCCCCCAGGAGGCCTTCATTTGGCTTATCGGGATACTGACATGTCTGATGAGTTCTCTGAAGCATGAGCAATGGCAAGCGATAGTGCAGACAGGACAGGTGCTAGCTAAGTCAGCATGCGCTTTGGGCGATGCGGTCAGGTTTTCTTTCTAGCTGGTGGCTTGCTTGGCAGGAATCCGTGGCTGAGGCCAGTTCAGCAGTCGGCAGGCTTGGTGGGAGCTGGCTGGCCCTTCGTGGCCTCGCAGGAGGTTGGGCTGGAGGGTTTGGCATCGGGGCACTGGCCAGGATTGACCTCAGGACCGTCCCCTTTGCAGGGCGTCACGTCAGGACAATCCGACGGGCCGGAGACGGACGGCTTGATCTCCGGCTTACAGGAGTCGGCGCTAGTCAGGCGGGTGCAGACCGGGCGGTAAGAGACAGAAGTGATACAGGTCGGGCGGCGCAGGATGGAATAACAGGGGCGGTAGCAGGCAGGGCGGAAGGAGATGGATGTCACGTATGGCTGCCTGTAGGTGATGGGTCCAGAGCAGATTGGACGGCAGATCGGGCGGTAGGGAACCGAGGGCACGCGAGGCTGTTTGCAGGAGCTGGGGATGAAGAAAGTCCGAGAGCAAGTAGGTTGACAGATGGCAGATGCAGAAGACCCCGGGCGGCAGCACAGAGGTTGGCAGGAGCTAGAAGGGCAGGGGACCGGCTCACAAGAGATGGACTGACAGCGCTTGATTACGTAGCAGGTAGGTTGACACGGGCTGGGCACGCAGACACTTGGTGGGCAGGGGCTGGGCTCAGGGCAGATGGGTTGGCAGATGCTGGAGATGCAGCATGGGGGCTCTTGGCAAGTAATGTCGTCACAAGGTGTCTCGCAAGGGCTGGGAACACAGCAGACAGAGCGGAGGCAGACGGGCTCACACATCAGAGCCATACAGGCTGCTGGTTGGCAGATGCTGGGCTCTGAGCAAGGTGGTTCACAAGGGCTGGAGTCACAGCAGACAGGCTGGCAGTTGTTGGCCACAGGGCAGACAGATGAACAGCAACTTGGGGTGGGGCACACCGGCTGGCAGCAGGCAGGCTCACAGATCATCGCCTGGCAGGAACTGGGCACAGCACAGACAGATGGACAACAGCTGGGCTCACAGATGGGTTTGCAGAGGAAGGCCTGGCAGGTAGCTGGCACACAGATGACTGGCTGGCAGGAAGGGGTCTCACAGCACACAGGCTGGCAGCAAGAAGGGTCACAGAGGGTGGCCTCACAGCACACAGGCTGGGGACAGCTGCTCACGGAGCAGGGCTCACAAAGGGTGGCCTCACAGCACACAGGCTGGGGACAGCTGCTCACGGAACAGGGGTCACAAGGGGTGGGGTCGCAGCACACGGGCTGGGGACAGCTGCTCACGGAGCAGGCAGGCTCGCAGATGGTGACGTTGCAGCACACCGGCTGCACACAGCTGCTTGGGGGACAGGAGGGTGGGCAGCACGGGGGGTCACAGCTGGACGACCCACAGCTATCTTGACAAGTCACCAGTTGCCACGTCTGGCTCTGGCAGGAACTGGGCAAGCAGATCGGCCCTCCACAGCTTACATCACTGGAGCAGAGAGAGATGGCGGGCACGGAGGGGCATTTCCTAGAACAGCAGTTTCCAGACATGGTGGTGGTGCCTCTGCTCCTTGTGAACGCTGAGAGCTTGCTGCCTTGGCTGGGCTGCTCTTGGAGGCCCTCGCTTTTATACCCACTCGCTGGCTCCTGCTGTTGTGGGCCCTGCATCTTTTCCTCGTTCCTGTTGGGGCTGGTTTTCAGAGGAACATCTTATTATGCCACTGTTTGTTGATTTGGATGTTGTTTATCTGACCATAAAGAAGCTGTTTGTTTATTGACCTGCTAAATTTGGTATCGTCGGAGCTACAGGTCATCTTGGAGTAAGCATCACTGCCTCCAAGCTGAGTGGTCTGTGTTTCTGAGCATTATGGCCAGGGGCTGAAGAAACTTATAATTATTCTAACTTCTTGCCCTCTGTACCAGGTCCTGGACTGGACACAGGGGGATGGCCACATGGGTAAGACCCACTCTGGCGGGTCTCATTCTCTAGGGGACAGGCAGGCATGCAGGGACAAATTCAACATAGACATACAGGCATTACAGAGGAAGAGAGGAGGAAAAATGAGTTCTGTAGAAGAGGGGATATCTGGACGGGACTTTAAGTGACTGTTTTACAGCATTGATCTTATTTAAAACCATTAGCAGGGCCTCCCAGGTGGTGCAAGGGTTAAAGTATCAGCCCTCTCAAGCTGTCGTCAGCCACTGCAGCACGAGTTCGATCCCGGCCCAGGGAGGTGACCCACATGGCGCGGCAGACCTCTCCTGTCTCGCCCCCTGCTCCCCTCAGCAGTGTATTTCAGCAGATCTGACTGTTCTGCTCCCCACTCTGTCTCTGGTGAATCCTCTCACCCCCCACACCTCTGGCCTAGACCCCAGCTCTTGTATGCATAAATAAAAAATAACATCATCAATCCCATGTGGCAGTAATTCCTCTTCTGCCATTCTAGGCAAAGAAAGGGAAGGGGGCTTGAAATAAAAGAGCTTGTCACTTGCTAAACATCAGCCACATCTTGCCTCCTGATCGAGGGTTGCTCTCCCACCTTTTCACCATTGTGTCTGGACACACGTTTCTCAGGAGCCCCATGCCACAGGCTCACCCCATAATGCTGTCCTCCATCCTATCCTGTGAGCAGCCCTGGGAAGCACTCGACTTACCTTTTCTGCTTTTCCTCCCCGTTTTCCTTCTACCCATCCCGCAATCCCATCAGGTATTCAGGAGACCCCCAGAGTCATTCTTGCCCTTGGTAATTTTAACAGCTCCTGAAAGAAAAGATCCACAAAACTCAAAGAAAACACAAATGCTTTTTTAAAGTGTTGTGCAAGTACTACCACCTGAGACGTGAGGTGGAAATTGAACCCTATATTTCTAAACACCAACCCCTGGCATCCTTGCTCAGTAAGGGACCTAACTGGCCTCCATCATGTGCTTTCAACATCAATGCAAAAGACAGGATTTCCTTTAGAACAGTTGAACCAATGTGCCATGCATTCATTATCCTTCCCTTCATTCATTAACTTATATAATCACTAATCAATTTCATTTTTATTCATTCCCTCCAGCTCAGTCATCATTGGGTTCTGTGTGAAGGATGCAAAAAAAAAAAAATGAATTGCAATTTTGCCACAAGGAACCCAAGAAGAGTGACCAGTGCATACAAAGCAATTACGGCACAGTGTGCATACAAGTGTTACAATACATGGGTGAGTTCTGGGGGTGCTATGGGGACAACCAGGAGAAACATCCACATGGTTTTTGGAAGTTTGAAATGTGTCTCAAGTAATAAAAAGGAAAGCTGAATCCTCAAAGAAGGATAAAAGGTGGTGGTAAAGGCAGGAAAAGAATCAGTTGTGAAAATCAAAGACACAAGAGCATAATACACTTGGGAAGCAATGAAGGGTTCCAGAGTCAAAATGAAAGGTGCCAGTGGACAGGAAGGCACAGTGTTAGTACTGGGAGGGGAGAGGAGTAACTAGCCCTGAATCATGAAGGGTCTTGAGGATCAGAAGCAGGATTTTATGCTGACACCTGGGAGTTTAAAGCAAGGGAGTAACTTGATCAGGTTTGACTTTGGAAAGGTCCCACAGACTGGAAAAGGGAGTTAGCGAAGGGGGGAGAGTCTGGGGGCAGGGAGATCACAAGGGTTCTAGGCCAGTGAAGCAAAAGCTTCATGGTGCCAACCTAAACTGGACAGTGCCTTGGGGCTAGAGCAATGTTAGCCAGAATCTGCATGACTCAGTGGTGGAAAGTAGGTTAGGAACACAAAGAGCCATCCTTCAAGATGTGGCTGTCAGGCAGTGGGGAGAGAGGACTTTTGAAGAGTTCTGCAGAAGGGCCTCTCCACAGCCCTAATCCCTACCTTCCCAGCTCTTCTCTCCATCCATATTTTCTTCCTCAGCTAAGCCAGCAATGGAATTCCAGATGGCAATAGCCCTTCTCCCAGTGAATCCCTGAAAACTCTCTCAGTTGAGAAACTTGCATAACATCATCTGTTATATAGGGACATCATTTCCTCAGAGTCCTTCCTTGCTAAATGAAATAAGCTGCTTTTTTCACCATCTAGTACATTCCTACCTTGTTCTTTTCAAAAGCCCATATCTCCTTTGACATTATATAAGCATTGGATGAATGAATGAATGAATGAATGGAATTAGAATTTCTGTGGACACCTAAGAAGGGCAGTTTTCTGTCAGTAATCCAAGGACTTTACAATTCTCCATTTACCCATCTGGGAGACGGTGATCATGAATGATAAAAGAATCAGTCCCTCAGAATCACAACTACTTAATGGAGCCCCATTGGTCTCTGGTAACTTTGTCCCATTGGCACACTTCTGCTCTGGTTGTGACTTTCTCAGGGGAGTTAAAGAGCCAGTTCTTAGGATGCTAATTCCAGCCAGGGCAAAAACAGATCTCACTAGTAGAGTCTAAAACTCAGCCAGGGAGAATCAATTCTAAATTCTCTCCAAAAGCAAGACACTTCTAATATTGTTGGGTTTTTTTTTTTAAAGATTTATTTATTTATTTATTTATTTATACAAGCACTGGGTACAGTCAGAAGCGCGGGAGGGTGAGAGAATTCACCAGAGCCAGAGCAGGGAGCAGAGCAGGCAGAAGGACGAAGTACACTGCTGAGGGGAGCAGCGGGTGGCAGGAGAGGTTTGTACGCCATGTAGGACCCTCGCCGGTGGCCGGGGATCGAACGAGCGCTGCAGAGGCTGCGGGCAGCTTTGCAGCCCAGCGCTCAACCGCTGAGCCACCAAGGGAGGCCCTACTATTGGATTTTTTAATTAGACAAAAAGAGAGAGAGAAAAGAAAAGAAACCACAATGAGCTTGCACTGCATATGTTCTAGAATAAAAAGATGGATAATAACAAGTGTGAAGCAGAACATGGAACAACTGACACTCCCAGACATTGCTGGTAGAAATACAAAATGGCACAGTCACTTTGCCAAACAGCTTAGTGGCTTCTTATAAACAGAAATCCCATTTCTAAGCATTTATCCAAAATAAGTGAAAACAAAATAAGTGTACATGAGTGTTCACAGCAGCTTTATTCATAATGGCAAAAATCTGGCGACAACCCAAATGCCCATCAGTCGATGAGTATTTTTAATGTAATATATTCATACAATGCAATACTACCATTTAATAAAAAAATGAACTTTTTTTTATTTATTTATACAAGCACTGGGTACAGTCAGAAGCGCAGGAGGGTGAGAGGATTCACCAGAGCCAGAGCGAGGAACAGAACAGGCAGACTGACAAAATACACTGCCAAGCGGAGCAGCGGGCACAGCAGGAGAGGTCTGTTGCTCCATGTGGGACCCTCGCTGGCGGCCGGGGATCGAACTGGTGCTGCAGAGGCTGCAGGCAGCTTCGCAGCCCAGCGCTCAACCGCTGCACCACGAGGGGAGGCCCAAAAAAAATGAACTATTTTAATAAGGTTTTATTGATTTACTATTAGTTCATGATACTATCTAAGTTTTGGAGTACAACATCATACCTCAACGTATGTATATTCTACTGTTACCACAACATGGATCAAAATGCTATTCTAAGTATAAAAGAATTCACAGATGTGATTTAATTTCTATGGAATTCTCAAAGTGGTGAAATTTATAGTTACACATTGTAGCTCTGTGGTTGCCTAAAGCTGGGGTCAGGGATAGGAAGGGTTACCTACAAAGGGGGCACTGGGAAATTTGGGGAAGGATGAAATTCTATATCTTGAATGCGGTGATAGTTGCTTAAGTATATATATTTGTCAAATCTCATAAAAATAGGAATATTTTATTATATGTAAATTATATCTTGAAATAGTTGGCTTATAAAAATGAAACATAAGTTTTTATAAGTAAAAAGGTAAATGCATCATGGCCCCAGTTTTATTTGTAAATGTGCTTAGAAAGGAGCCTAGGAAGATATATGTCAATAACGAACTCAGAGTGGTGAGAATTCAGATGGCAATTATTTCTCCTTTATATTTGTCTGTATTTCTTCAAATTTTTAGGAATCATTGCTTTGCTTATAATCAGAAAAAAAAGTTGTTTCCTGACTGAATGAAACATTGCTTTGTAATAATAAAAATAAATAGCATTCTGCCCAGGGCAAGAGCAGAATAAGTTTTGTTTCACATGTAAAATCACATTTAGCGAGAAGTTGGATCAACTGTCTTGAATATTAACTTTCCAGCTGGGCTCCCATACACCTGAGTCCATCTCCACCTGGTAGATGCCCGCCTCCCTCTCCTTCCTAGGACTGAGGCACACACACAAAAGCGGGTTCCAGAACAAGAAAACCTAACACAGGAGGGGAAGCCTTTACCAAAGCAAAGAGGGGAGGGAACAACCAGACTTCCCAGAACAGCCTAGAACCTGTGTCCTTACAAAGTTTTGAAAGAGGAATAGCTAGCAAGTCTGTTTTACCAGCGCCGCCTCCTCTGACTTTGCCAGAAAGTTCTGACCAAGGCTGCAGCCCTTTCCTGAACCCCTCGGTAACTGTTGATACCCTGTGGAGGAAGCCCTGCCTCGCTCTAGATTAGCCTGCGCCGCTTCAGCACTTACCAGGAGCTTTGGAGACTGCAGGTCCCACACCCTAGACCTGCCGGACAGACTCCCCAGAGGGGCAGCGCAAGGTTCTGCATTTTTTTAAAGCCCCCAAGTGGACGTCAGCCAGCACATGGAAGCTTTCATCTACAAGTGGGGTTGTAGTTAAAGTGCCGGCTGCCACAACCCAAATGCCCAAAAATAGATGAATGGATCAAGAAGATGTGGTCCAGATACACCATGGAATATTACTCAGCATTCAAAAAAGATAAACACATGCAGTTTGCAGCAGCATGGATGGAGCTGGAAGGGATCCTGCTCAGCGAAATAAGCCAGAAAGAAAAAGAAAAATACCGGATGGTCTCACTCATAGCAGGAATCTAGAAAACTTAAATAAGGGACCAGGAAAAAGAATAACTATATGAAAGAAAATATCAAAATTAACAAAAAACTCTGAACCAGAGACACTCTATGGGGGGGTAGGGGGCGGGGAGGGGAGGGATTGGGGTCAAAATAAAGGGGTTGCAATTGTATGGGGAATATAAAAATAAAATTTATTTTAAAAAAAAAGTGCAGGCTGCCGGGGCCTCCCTGGTGGCTCAAGGGGTTAAGCACCGCACTATGAGGCAAGCCGCAGCCTCTGCAGCACGAGTTCGATCCCGGCCGGCCAGGGAGCTACCCACATGGCGCGGCAGACCTCTCCTGTCTCTCCCGCCGCTCCCCTCAGCAGTGTTTTCGGTCCGTCTGCCTGTTCTGCTCCCCACTCTGTCTCTGGTGAGTCCTCTCACCCCCACACCCCTGGCCTGTACCCCAGCTCTTGCATGCATAAATAAATCTTTAAAAAAAAAAAGTGCAGCTGCGGGTCTCGCCTGGGGGTGGGGTGCAGATCCGCTCCCCGGGTGGAGGCCCCCGATGCCCGCGCCGGCTGCCCCTCCGCTCGGGCGGGCGCCCCACGAACCGCACCTCCGCAGCCCCGCGCCCGGGTGCGGGGAGGAGGGAAGGAAGAGGCGGGAGAAGTGTTCGGTGCGGCCAGCATGCTGGGTTTATTAGCGGGTTAACCAAGAAAAGAGGGGTTCGCATCTAGGGGCGCGGGGAGCCGGGGCGCGGGGGGCGGCGCGTCCCGGGCCCCCCGAGTCCCAGGGCGCGCGGCCGGGCCGGACGTGCCGCTCCGCGAGACGAGCCGCGAGGGTTCAGCCTTCGAGCTTCGGGGGGCCCGGGGGCCCCGGCTTCCACTTCTCAGGCGCGCCGGGCGCGGGGCCCCGAGTCCTCTGCAGCGCGCGGGGCGTCCGGAGCCGGGGGGTCCGCGGGGCGGGTCACTTGGTGTCGCACACGGGGCCGGGCTGGCAGCACACGGGCCCGCAGCAGCCGCCCGAGCCGCAGCAGCCGCCGCAGCCGCCGCAGCCGCCGCAGCCGCCGCCGCAGCCGCCGCAGCCGCCGCCGCAGCCGCCGCAGCCGCCGCCGCAGCCGCCGCAGCCGCAGCAGCCGCCGCCGCCGCCGCAGCCGCCGCCGCCGCAGCCGCAGCAGCCGCCGCCGCCGCCGCAGCCGCAGCAGGCGCCGCAGCAGCCGCAGCAGGGGCCCTGGCAGCAGCACTCCTCGCAGCAGTCCTGCTCCTGCGGGCAGCAGGCGAAGCACTCCCCTGGGCAGCACCCCATGGTCCCGGCGCTCGGCTCGCAGGTCGGCAGGTCCCAGGCCGGGGGCGCCGCGCCCTTTATACCCGCGCCCGCCGGGGGACGCGCTCCGGGTTATTTGCGCCCGCGGCCGGGAACGGCTCGTGACGCCTGTTTATTTTCCGGCCCCGAGTGCCTCAACTCGTAAAAGGGCCCCACTCGCCCCAGCGGCTGTTTGTCCAGGGGCGACACCTGTCATCACCCCGAACCCCGAACCCCGAACCCCGCGGGCGGCACCTGCCGGGCCGGGCCGGCCCAGGGGCGCGCTGGCTCCAGGGGCGCTGCCCTGCGGGGGCCCAGCTCCGCGGGCCGCTGGCGGGGGGCCCTTCTGCGGGGGGGCAGGCGCTGGGCGGCTAGTGGGGTGCCCCGGGGTGCCCCCGCCCCCCCCCGCCCCCCAGGCCCGGCGGCGGGCGCGCGGGTCACGTGGCGGCTCCAGGTGGAACCTGCATCCCGCGGCGCCCACGTGAGCAAAAGGCAAATATTTGTGTCCCCGTGTGCTATGCGGAGTGCGCCGCACGGGTGTTGGGGCGTGGGGGGAGGCATCGGGCGGGAGTGATGACTGCCCCGAGAAATGCGGAGACTCGTCATAAAACCGCAGGACACGGGGCGCCACGTTCTCTCGGGGCTGCAGGGCGAGCTGAGCTCGCTCTTCTCTCCAAATGGGCCGGGGCCTGGCGGGGCCGAGCAGCCGATGAGTGCATGTGCGCAGCAACGTGGAAGCGCTGTGTGCAGTTTTGAAAGAGTTGCAGCTGCGGGAGAGCAACCCCGAGGGTCACCTGCCGAGAGAGGCTAGAATGCACAGGGAATTCAGGTCCACGTGCCAATTCTGAGACGGGTCAAAATGCCCATCTCCATGTTGGGGTTTTGGTACCTTGTCAACCTCTCGGATGGGAATGGCAGCCCAGCAGCCCAAAGACTGCCTCTGGAAGGCAGCACCCCCAGAAAGCACAGTGGGAGGAGGTGCGGAGGGATGCAAGGCGGCTGTGGGTGTGGTGATCTGAATGAGGGACACACCCCCTTTTTCAATTTCCCTTTCCTTTATAGATCCACCTAGAGGTAATGTTATAGGACAGGGAGAGGGGCAGCCCAAACCCCGCAAACCTGCCTATTCTACATGGGTTCTGCCATCCGCCGCATCAGCACAAAACATAGGAGACTTTAATGGGAAGGAACTTTAATACAACTAGGAAACAATACAGGTAAGGCAAAGAGTCTAGTTTCTAAGTGAAGCATCCAGAGTTACCCGTCCCCTCGTGGGTAAAACTCCATCCAAATGGGAATGGCCCAGAGCAAGGCCCCAAAGCCTGCCACAAGTCTAAAGCATCTTCCAGTGGGGACCCACAGAAAAGGGTCACAAACAACTGGACAAGCCCGGAAGGAAAAGAGCAAAATCAACATCAAGATAAAAGCTGCCGTTGTCACCTCCCCACGGGTCTCACCCACATCTGTGTCACCCAGTCCACGACCAAAAGACAAGCGCAGTTTCTTCACGTGTCTCTAGGCTCCATGCGCCTCCTCCAGGTCTCCTTGCTCCATCCTGCTTCCTTCCTCAGTCTCTTCTGCAGCTTCTTCTCTCCCTGCTCAGCTCCACCCTCCCTTGGGAGGGGCAGGGAACCTCCCCCTTTCTTGGGGACCACCCTGTTACAGTAAGGCAGCATCCTGGGACTACAGGGACTGAGCAGAGGGGTGCAGATTTTCAAGGGAATAGTTGGGGGGACGAGCCCTTGGATCTGACATGATGCTGAGTACTTCCCAGGATGTGGAATTTTAGAACTAGGAGGAACCTTAAAATACCATGTGACTTCCAAACCCAATGTTACATCAGAATTTCCCAAGGTGCGGGCTTTTGAAAAACTCAGATCTCCAACCTGCACCCCAGTCTTGGTAATCCTCTTTGATAATTCTCACAATATTTCCACACATTTCATTGTTATATCTGTTTTCGGGTGCTCCATGATCAGTGGTCTTTTATGTTACTATTATATTTGGGGTACCGCAAAGTAACCCCCTAAAAGACCACAAACTTTCCTAATAACTGTGTGTGTTCTGACTACTCTACAGATAGGTGGTTCCCCCATCCTTTGTTCTTTCTCCATTCCTAAAATACAACAATATTAAAATTAGGCTAACTAATAGCCCTACAGTGCCTCTAAGTGCTCAAGTGAGTCACATGCATCTCACTTTAAATGAAAAGTTAGAAATGATTGAGGTTAGTGACGAAGGCATGTCGACAGCCAAGGTAGCTGAAAGCTAGGCATTTTGCCCCTTGTAAAAGCCAAGGAAAAGTTCTTGAACAGAATTAAAAGCGCTATTCCAGTGAACACATGAATGACGAGAAAATGACACAGCTTTATTGCTGGTTGGGAGAAAATTTTACTGGTCTGGATAGAAGATCAAATCAGCCGCAACACTCCCTTAAATCAAAGCCTGATGCTCAGTAAGACCCTAACTCTTCAACTCAATGGTGAGAGAGGTGTGGAAGATGCAGAAGAAAAGTTTGAAGACAGCAGAGGTTGGCTCATGAAAATAATGAAAGAAGCCATGTCTGCGATGAGACTATCCAGGGTGGAGCAGCAAGTGCTGGTGCAGAACCTGAGGCCAGAAGAGCCCGAAGACCTGGTTAAGATAATTGATGAAAGTGGCAACATGAAACAACAGATTTTCAGAGTAGACAAGACAGCTTTCTGTTGGAAGAAGATGCCATCTAGGACTTTCATAGCTATAGAAAAGAAGTCAGTGCCTGACTCTAAAGCTTCGAAGGACAGGCTGATTCTCGTTAGGGCCTAAGGCAGCTGGTGACTTTCAGTTGAAGCCAATGCTCACTGACCATTCTGAAAACCCTTGGACTCTGTAAGGATGATGCTAAATCTACTCTGTCTATAAATGGGGGGGGGGTGTTCCAGATGACTGCATATTTGTTTACAACACAGTTTACTGAATATTTTCAGCCCACTGTTGCAACCCAATGCTCAGGGGGAAAAAAGATTCCTTTCAAAATATTGTCGCTCATTGCCAATGCATCTAGTCACCCAAGATCTCTGATGCAAAGGTACAAGAAAATGAAGGTGGTTTTCATACCTGCTAACACATCCATTCTGCAGCCTATAGATGAAAGGGTCATTTTGACTTTCAAGTCTTATTATTTAAGAAATGCATTTCAGAAGACTGCAGCTGCCAGTTGTAGTGATTCCGCTGATGGATCTGGGAAAAGTAAACTGAAAACCCTCTGGAAAGGTCCACCTTACATGTGTCATTAAGAACACTGCTGTTCCTGGGAAGAGGTGAGAATGTCAACCTTAACAGGTATTCGGAGGAAGTTGACTCCAACCCTTATGAATGACTGTGAGGGGTTCAAGACTCCAGTGAAGGCAGCAACCATGCATGTGGTGGAAATAGCAAGACAACGAGACTTACAAGTGTAGCATGAAGAGGAGACTCAATTGCTGCAATTTCGTGATGAGACTTGAACTGAGAGTTGCTTCTTATCAACAAGCGAATAAAGTGGGTTCTTGAGATCTCCTGGTGAAGATGCCGTGGACATTGATGAGATGACAACACAGTATTTAGAACATTACAGAAATCTTGTTGATGAAGCAGCAGCAGGGTTTGGGATATTGAAATTTCGAATTTTGAAATAAGTTCTATTGTGGATAAGCGCTCTCAAACAGCATTGCCTGCTACAGAGAACCCTTTCATGAAAGGAAGAGTCAATCAATGTGACAAACTGCACTGTTCTCTTATTTTAAGAAATCAAAATTTCTTAATTCCAGCCTTCAGCAGCCATCACCCTGACCAGTCTTAGCCATCAGCATCAAGACAAGATCCTCTAGCAGCAAGAAGACTATTATTTGCCAAGGGATGAGATGATGAATAGCAAATTTTAGCAATAAAGTATTTTTAAATAATATATGTATATTTTTTAGACATGGTTTTTAGACATGGTTATAGTGCACCTTCATAGACAGCAGTATAATGTAAATGCAATTTTTTTAAAGATTTATTTATTTATATAAGCACTGGGGAATAGCCCAGAGGTGCAGGAGGGTGAGAGAATTCACCAGAGACAGAGCAGGGAGCAGAACAGGTAGAAGGACCAAAATATGCTGATGAGGGGAGCAGCAGGCAAGACAGGAGAGGTCTGCCGCACCATGTGAGAATCAACCTGGCCGGCTGGGAATTGAACCAGGCTGCAGAGGCTATGGACAGCTTCACAGCACTGCACTCAACCCACTGTACCACCGGGGAGGCCTGTAAATGCAATTTTTATATGTGCTGGGAAACCAAAAATTTTGCATGACTCACCTTATTGCAATAATGACTTTGTGGTGTTAGTCTGGAGCTGAACCTGTAATATTTGAGGTTTGCCTGCATTTAAGTTTCACCTTTGAAAGATAGTTGTTTAGAATATTTTGGTATTTTAACTGATTTTTTGTTATTATATAACTCTATAATTACATCATTTTACACAAATCTTTATATATTGGAAATTGCATCCATGAGATTTTGCATTTGTAATTTTGATGGATGTTATCAAATTATCCTTTGCAAAGATTGTACCAATTTTCACTCCCATCAGCCAAGTGTTAGAAGACCTGTCTCTTTATGCTTTTATCAATAGTGTTATCAAAGTTTGTGACCTTGCCAATCTGAGAGGAGAAAGAATCTTGTAATCATTTTAGCATGCATTTCTCTTGTTAGTGAAAGTGAGCAACATTTCATATATTTAAATGCTGTTTATGCTCCCTCTTCTGTGAATTTTCATTTCATATTCATTCATTTCATTTCATTTCATATTTATCCAACAGTTTTGGAATTTTTATTCAATTGATAGGAATCCTCTGTGTAATAGAAAATAAAATTTTGTCTGTGAGTTACATTTTCCCAGGTTAGTCTTTTATGCTGTATTATAATAATAATAACAACAATGAGAATAATTACACTATAAATTTCATACCTGCTTAATATGAAATTTCTGAAAAATATAA